CCGCTGGGTTTGTCTTGTCTTCGTGTGCCTTGTTGCAGTTTTCCTAGCCCTCGTGATGCATTATACACTTTACTTACTAGCAAAATGATTCCTGCCAAATATAGCCCAGCCGTCATGATACGCCATGGTTTCAACGCCCTTGTTTTCATCAATTGTTTCATCCGTGGCTCCAGTCGAGATGAACACCGGTCTCGATTCTGGTTTGCAATGTTCGCACTCTGGATTCCCGCATGATCGAAAGTCATGATCTGACCCCTCCAACTTGATGGTGCTGAAGAAAGCGACTCCATCTCCATTAATATCCTCGTCGTCGACTTCATGGGCAGGAGAGTCTATCTGTTTCACTGTACTCTCTTCGTCTTGGGCGGGCTCAAGAACTCCTTCATGAGGCTTATCGGACTCTCCTCGCAATTTTCTTCGTACGCAAAGGAGCAGTATGATGAGTACGATCAATCCAATTGCGATTCCCAGGCCCAAGAGCAACGGAGAGGTTTCTTCTGGTTCTTCTTCAGCGGGAACATAATAACCGTAGTCATCGTCGTAATTGTAGTCATCGTCGTAGACGATGATTTCGTCATTCGCGACTCCATCGTTCTCTACTGGGTCACTGACAACACTTTGAGAATCCGTGAAACCCTGAAACTGGCCACCAAAGCCTTGTAAGGTACTTTGAAAAACAGGGATCAGATCGGCATATAGATTCTCATTCAATCGTCGTCCACCATTTGGAATTGCAAGTTCCATGTTCATGCTGCCACGAACAACACTGCAAGCATTTCCTGCGAAACTGCCGCTGCAAACTCTGACAGTATCACGGTCGCCAATTGCGACTTCAACGACGTCATACAACGTGTTGGAATAAGCACATGTCAAAAGTCTGTCGGACAAAGTTTGATGCAAGGCTTCCTCGATTTCCAAGGCCGTGCCAGCTGCACTCGAAGGGTTTTTTGAAAGTGTGTAGTCATACGTGATTGTCTCGCTTTCAACGCGAGAGCTCGTTGGTGGGGTAGACTTGCAAGTTGAAACTTTCCCAAGGTCAGATGTCAGATAAGGGAGTTGCGAATTTATCGGCAAATTTGTGATCGGGGATCCCACTGGTGGCAGTCTTGTAGTTGTTTCCCCTATGGTCGGTGCTGCTGTCCTAGATGCTGTCGGCGCTGCAGTAGGGGAGCTTGACGTTCTGTAGAAGATTTTGAATTCGGCTCCCAACGTAAAACTGGAAAAGTCGATGACGTTGGATCGGACGTGAACGCGGTAGCTTCGGTCCCTTTCCGCAAAGAATTGGTAGGTCAGGTATTCATCTCTGTTGCAACTGGCTGGTTTGACTGGACGTGCTGGAAATCCCACACAACTCTGAGAGTTACAGGCACTGAAGACGCCAACACTCAAGAGTCTCTGATTCTCGGTACAGATGCTAAGCGTAACCTCCTCACCAGTTCCAATGATTTCATACCAGACGCCTTCCAAGTGGCTGTTAGGTCCACAAGCGTCCACATCCGTAAAATCAGAAACCGCAAATGAATTGTCGCCGGATACTGGCTCATTTTCGAAAAGTCTCAATGGAGAAGTGCATTCATCATTGTTTGCGCTGACAAACCCGACCACAAGAAGCAAAACAGCTCGGTATTTGTTCATCATTCTCATGTTGTTGTTGATGACGATGGTGATTTTTTCTTTGGTACGAATTGGCTTTTTTGTCGCAATCCAGAAAAATTTAGTCGATTTTGGCACAAAATCTGCAGATTCATTGGTCTTGACGTTAAATGACGGCGGAAATTCCCCCATTGTAAAATACGTCAAGACATCTGAACGGAAATCCTCGTAGCCACAAAATCTTGGAAATCATCGATCACATGTCTACAGACAACTCTCCTCAATTTTGAACAATATGGTTTTTTCAGTCTAGCAAGTAGAAGATCCCTATGTCATGGTCATTGATTTCTTGAAGATTAGACGAAAACAAGAGCACTTGGAAACGCTGATATGATGAGTTGAAATGGCGGAGGAGTCGAAGTCGGATGGGTCGATCGTACCATCATCTCAATTTCGGTGGTGGGCAGTCGGATGGGTCGAGCAGTTCGCGATCTTCAGAAACTATCACATATTAGACGCTCACTGAAGGCGGCAACACTGCATGGCCTCCTCCATTATTTTTATCTTCTCCCTACATGCAGACTGAAATAGAAGCATACACATTTGGAATTTGTCAGGGAAAACGACCAGGACCACAATGAGGGTATCTATAACAGAACATGAGGAATTGGAAGGCTTGTCGCTTGAAAAGAAGAGTGCTAGTGACAAGACTGGAGATGCTCCTTTTCAACAGGGTTCCAAAAGAGAAAAGAGCAAGCTCATCAAGAATAACGAACAAGCGATTAAGGAGTATAGAACTAGCTTTGAGGGGGAGAGCTTCGTACAGAGAGCCAAGAGTCGAGGCATGTCAATGTTGACCAAACCTGTGCAACTGAAAAATATAGTTGGAGAACAGCTTGATGCCTCGTCGGAATTCGTCCCTCCCGTTTTCGCAAAGAGTGACGAGGAGGTTACAGCTATCCAAAGCAGAATCGTAGGCAGCATCTTTTTCAATGATCTTGCAGAACAGGAAGAACGAGTACTCATTGACGCATTCGAACCAGTGACAATGGCTGAAGGTGACATTGTCATAAGAGAAGGTGACAAGGGCGATTATTTTTACGTTATTTTAGAAGGAAAAGTGACATTTCTTGTGAAAGAAAAGATCGTCGGGGATTCTAAAGGTGGTTCCCAATGCTTTGGAGAGCTTGCCTTGCTCTATACATCCCCTCGCGCAGCTACAGTACGATGCGACTCTAGCCCCACCAAAATGTTTCGAGTCGACCAAAAAACGTTTCGGTCGTTGCTACAAAAACAAAGTCAGGCCAAAGAAAGCGAAAAGATGGGATTGCTTCGATCGATTGACTTTTTTACAGACATCGACGACAGAAGAGACTTGAAGAGATTGAGTGCTGCAATGAAACCCCGTGCCATTTCTCCAGGCGATCAGTTGACGAAGGCTGGTATCCCCCTTGATGTTTTCTATATAGTAGTGGAAGGCGAGCTAGAAGTCACCAACGTTACCTTTGGAACAACCAGGTTTGAAGACGTAAAAGTTACGAAGGGATCTTACTTTGGGGAACGAGTGCTGTCTTCAGATGAGCCCATATCCGCGAATATCACGGTCACCAAGGCTGGTATGGTGTTTTACATTGACAAACCATCCTTCGAGAAAGTCATGGGTCAATTTTCCCGAGTCGTTCTGAGGGCACAATATAAAAGCGTTTTAGTGAGTTCTTTGCTGAGGTTTCAAAATTCAACTCGTAATTCAGAGCTCCAGTCATGCTCACTCAAATACCACTCTTTGGACTGGCAGGAAGAGGTCGATTTACTCATTGGGGCCAAATTAAGTACAATACAGTTTGAAGATCTTGCTGATTATGTGGTCGACAAAGAGTTTAAGGCGGACGAAGTCATCTTTTGTGATGAAGAAGACACGGAAGCAGCGATGTACATCATAAGGCGAGGATCGGTCAAACTAACTGGGGAAGGCATCCACGACATCGTCAAGTCAGGGGGTTATTTTGGGGAATCGTTGTTGCTTCTTGACAATAGGCAAGGGTCGATGCCGAAAGGAAAGCTGACTCCTAGGTTTTCTGCAAAAGCGTTGGAACAGTGTCATTGTGGGGTGTTGTACTTATCCAATTGCCGGTTCGTTTTTGACACGGGGACAATTCCGGACCTACATGGGGAAAACAGGTATTATCTAGACAACGTGGGGCTAACTGATAGTGACGACGACGATGAGGGTTTGTTTGGGGCTGCGCCATCGTCGCTTACTCGTGAAACAACAAAACAATGGCTTAGGAATACCTCCAGTGATTTATTGCGATCAGTAGTGAAGACAAATGTTCAGCTAGCTGACTTGGAAAAGCATTCCGTTTTGGGCGAAGGCCAATTTGGTGAAGTTTGGCTTGTTTCCGCAGATCTCTCAGATCCTCATAGCAAACAATTCTTTGCCTTGAAGAGTCAACATAAGGAGGACGATAGCAGAGGTGATTCAATCGACTTCATTAGACGTGAGATTGACATTCTTCAAGCTGTGGATCATCCCTTTCTCATCACCTACGTACATGAATACGATGATCCAGACAAAATTTACATTCTGATGCGGCTGGTCTATGGTGGGGAGCTGTTTGATGTCATTCACTACAAAACCGAGAATGGCAAGTGGAGTTCAGGAATTCCAGAAGACCATGCAAAGTTCTATGCGATGATGATTGCAGATACGCTAGAGTACATGCATCGCAAGCAGTTTGTGTATCGTGACATGAAAGCAGAAAACGTTTTAATTGATAGAGACGGATATCCAGTGATTTGCGATTTTGGATTTGGTATGTTGAGAGCATCGTATTTTGCTAGAGTTTGTTTCGTTGTGTCAAGAGGACTCACAGCATTTTTATTCTTCCTTTTTCATTTTGTCGTTTAGCAAAATATGTCGAGGACTTGACGTATACAATGTGTGGTACTCCAAACTTTCTCTCCCCTGAGGCGATCCTGCAGAAAGGCCACAACCACAGCACAGATCATTGGGCGCTAGGAGTATTGATCTATGAAATGATAGCTGGTGAAAATCCCTTTTTCTACGACGGTATGCCGCAAATGGAACTATTTGAAGCTATTCTACAAGACAGATATTATCCTCTACCAGATGAAGTGAGCGATGATGCCTTTGAGGTTGTTGATGAACTTCTAGTGAAGGATCCCACGCAACGGCTTGGTTCTCTGGCTGGTGGAGGAAAAGATATTATCAACAAAGCATGGTTCCGCGACTTAGATTTAGTTGAGATGAGACAGAAGAGGCATAGAGCACCCTTCATACCTCACAACAAAGAGCTAGATGAAAAACTCAACAAAGCGGCGTCATCAGCGCCGCCAAAAGAACGTCAAAGCGCATCTCATTCAGAATTACCGGTCCCAGGCCCACCAGCAACTATCACTACTTTCACTGACGGAGGCACTGTTAAATTTGGAAATGTTCGGAAGAAACGAGTGGATTCTCTATTGAATGACTGCGATAGTGACAGTGATAGCGATTAAAGAAGCGAAGTAGTCCGAATTGAAGCTTGCTCTTGTTCATTTATCTGTCATGGGGTCTCAACCTTCCACATTTTGGACAACATTCTGTAGGCACGAGGATCGTGATCCTTGATCTGTTGCCGGTTGAAGGGAAACCATTTGTTATATTCCACCTCCGTAGCTGTCCCTCCCAAGAATGCAGTTGACAACTCGGCAAAGTACTCCATGCAGTTTGAACAAGCATAGGCCTTGGCTTCTGGCCCTTGTGGACCATGTACCTTTACTTTCTCGTACAAACCCTCTTCCATGGCCGCCTGAAAGCAATCTTCAATCTCCTTGTTTTCGTAACCGTCTTGCAACAGACGATGATGGTAGGCATGACTGAGTTCATGTACCATGAGTCCTCCGACACCCCAGAAATCGACATCCTTGGCATATCCGAGGCCATCATTAATTTCCACGCATTTGTGCTTTTCGACACAATGTCCGTTTTCTTCCAGCCAGTCTCTAGTAGGATGATAACAGCAACCGACAGCACGGCTTGGACATACTCTGGGACCAAACTTGATGGATGAATTGATCCATATTGGGCAATTTTCTCGCAGATCTGAAAATAGAACAAGGGAAGTTTGAGTTTACCATCAGCGGATCATCGTTCTGCCTTTAGCCAACAGAATGATATCTACTTACATTCCACAGCATGTCTTGGCAGGATCTTTGCGGCGGCTTCCAGGTCTTTGCACAATCGTTTCTCGATATTTTTGTCTCCCCCATGCCAGTTTGGCTCCATGTAAACTGGCCAACCACCCAGTAGCTTGCGTTCGTAAAATTTGGTCGACGTATCGTAAGGAGTTGGGTCGATCTTTGCAATCGCCTGCTTTAAGAAGAATGCAGCTGGTTTGGGTTTGGTGATTTTGTCAATAACGTCAAAGGTTGGGCGTTGCCGTTTCCGCAAAAACGTCGGTTTGCAACAAATAACTTCTTCTTGTGAGCCTCTAAAGTCCTCGTCCTCATAACCGATGGTCACCAAATAGACTGGGTCCTTCTCTCCCTTATTCTTTTTGTAGTCGTTGGGCATGAAACCCGCCACGACCGACGCAGATTTAGGCAACTTTTTGTTCCTTCGTGCCTCATCGATGTCATCTTCTGGTAGGCAGACAAAGCAAAAGGTATCTCCACCCACCGTAGTCTCAACGTGATCCTCAATAGTAACCATTGCTTCTTCCTTGATTGGCTCTGTTTGGGGTGATATTTTGTAGAAATGATGCAGTTGGGAGTCATGGGATACCCAACAAAGCAATAGTGGGAACGGACAGAGGTTTCGAAATGCCACTCGTAGACGCTTTCCTCCTCCTGACATGGATACAAGTTCTCCTTGGTCAAATGCTTCCGTAGCTTGCAAGCCTTCCCACTTTTTGCCGAGGTGCGCATGGCCATCCAACAAGTCCCTCATGGAGGAAACGAAACGCTTCAAAAACGATGGAGTCTTGGTGAAAGGAGCCATTCTACCAATCTAAAAGGATTGTGGTACCAGCAGCCAGTTGCAACAGCGAACTATAGGCTTAGATCGGTGGATGGCGTTGAGAATTTGGTTGTTGTCGTCAAAAAGTCATTTTCATGTTGATTCCTTCGACTAAGAAATAGCATTGATTGATTCATTCGATCAAATGCTGGTCAAAAGCAACCTCGAACAAAACCCCGTTCAACTATTAAAATAAATCTTTGCTACTACGAGTATACTTGTCATTGATTTTCATACTTCAGCATGACGGTTCACTCTTTTCACATTTTCGATCGAAGGGGTAAGACCCTGTTCACCAAGAGATACATTAAAAACTACGGCGTTCACGAGGATGATGAGCAACTATCAGAACAACGCAAGCTAGTCTTTGGAATGCTCTTTTCGTTGCGCGAACTTTCCAGTAGTCTGAGTCCCTCAACCGCTGAACCTGGAGAATTGAAAATGGTTAAAACTGGAGCTTCTGCTTTGTACAATTATGAGACTGTTTCAGGTTTGAGATTTGTCGTCTATACCACTCCCGAAACTGCCTATACGACCAATGATACTGCCGCTCAATCCCCAGCCAATTCGGCCAAGGAGACCAAGGTCAGCGAAGGCCAAACCAGTCCAGCCGTCACGGGGAAAATTCGGGCAGCTTTGAAGCACATTTACGAACATATCTGGGTGACCTTTGTCATTCGATCACCAATGTATCAGCCAAGCAATCCAAATATCTCGGCCACCAACTTTGAAGCATCTTTGGATAGTTATCTCAAGGAAATGCCGTGGTTCCGCTAAGTGACTAATGTGATTGGGGCCTGTATTTCTTTTTCCTTCCTTCAACCTATAGCTCAATAACAAAAATATATTCATCGCACTGTGATACATTATGACGTTCTAGCTTTCTTCGTTGTTCGTTTTCCACCCCCTCCTTTGCTCTTTTTGTTAGCTGCTTGTTGCTGCTGATGCTTTTGCATGGCTGCTGTGTATTCCCGATCCACCACTTCATATTCCTCCGACACGACTTGAAAACGTTCCTTGACCGTTTCTAACTCTTCTTCCAGAAACTTTTGGGCACCTGCCAAGGTCAAGAAATCTGTTTCGTCTGCAAAGCATTCGGTCAACCATTCTTGTTGCGAGGATTCTACTTTTGGGGCCTTTGGAATATGCAGTAGCTGACGAAAGAAATTTTCATTTGGGTCTGTAAAGACCACTTCGTCGTAGCTTTCCGCAATGACTGGTGGTGCATTTTCATCTTTGGGCAATACATTTGGCGGTGAACCAGGTGGATACAACTTGAGTGCGTGATTTATCTAAAGAAGAAACAAGATGTAGAAACAAGATTAGAGCATACAGCATAATGTATACAAACAAACCGATTATCAACTTTATATTCACAAGATCAAAGGTCTCGAGCTCGAAAATAATATCCTACAAAACACTCACTTACCACTGTCGCTTTTTCGGATGGATCCGTCCACACAATTCGTATTTGTGCTTCAAATTCTCCCCATCCTCTTTCTGTTACTTCAAAAGGCGGTTGCGTCAATTCTCGAACAGGTTGTGCAAAGGAAGGATGCAATTGAAAGACGACTTTGGCGATGGCAGGGCTCAAATCTTCGTGGTGTGGACCTCTCACAAACAATGTCCATTCGTGAGTCTGAAATTCATCGGCTTTCTTTCCGAGATAAAAAGCTATACTTCCATGAACAATCGGTAAACAAGCGGTGGTCTTTGATAATCTAGTACTGTTGCTGTTGTTGTTCTTGGGGTCTTCCCCTCCAGCACTTGCTGCTTCTGGAGTACTTGCTTGTTTTGTTGTTGCCATGCTGTTTTGCTTCGTCCTGTCGATCCAATAAAGTCGTCGCTATAATGATAGTTGGCGTTTTTCTTCGGATTTCAAGCTCTTTTCTTGTGCAGGTTGGCAACAATGTTGATAGCGAGTAGCTGCAAAGTGATAAAACAACCTGTTGTGATTGTTGACTTGCGGGTTTCGCGTTTAGGAGTCAGTCAGTCGAAAGAGTCGCAGTCGAAGTAGTCAACTGTCCGTTTCAAAATATATGAAAACTGGCACAAAATCTTGCTATTGCTATCCACCATAACAACATATGCAGCCATTCAGTCTAAAAGCAAATGCCATTGGTTTCGTGGTGGCGACATTCCTAAGCTGGAGAGGGATAAAGAAAAAAGGATTGACTCGTTCGGGAGCCGCTAGTAAGTTCTGTAGAAGATAATTTGGAGATGATGTCTGTCTGTCCTAAATCTACCTCAACGCATACTCTTTATGTCATGTCTCAATTTGACTCCTGTACCTATTGCCATCTTTTCTCTCATTGAATTTTAGCTGCCTTTTGCGTTGGGTTCCTTCTAGTATGTACTGGATTGCGTGGTTTCAACTTGCTCGTGTTTTATTTACTGGGGACCAAGGCAACCAAGTTTAGGAAGGAAATCAAGCAAAAGATGGATGGAACCGTAGTACTAAGTGGAACAATTGCTCGAGGACCCAGTCAAGTCTTGGCTTGTAGTCTATTGGCTGTGATCCTGTCACTGGTCCACGGGATTTACTGCGGGGAGGAGAAGCCCATTGATTTTGGTGAATTTTCCGTGGCATCCAAGTTGACCTGTGGTGTTGTTGCTCATCATGCGACCTGTTTGGCAGATACTTTGGCGTCTGAACTTGGAATTCTAGCAACAAGTCCTCCTGTATTGATAATACAACCTTGGAGAGGAGTGCCTCCGGGCACGAATGGTGGCGTCACACTTTTGGGATGCTTCTGGAGTGGCTTTGGTGGCTTGTTGATGGGTCTTTTTACAATTGCCTTTGATTTCATTTCGGGCATTTCACCACTACATGTGGTGCCCATGCTTGCATTTTCAACTTGCTGTGGGTTGCTAGGTTCCTTGTTGGATTCCCTATTGGGTGCTACCATTCAACAATCTCTGTACGACCCGGATTCAAAACTTGCCTATCAATCGAATGATGACGTGAAATCGGCTACAAAAGTAGTTTCTGGAAGCAATATTCTTACCAATGAGCAAGTCAACTTAGTTAGCGTTGCGGCGACTACATTTTTGGGAGGGTGGGTTCTTGGACCCTTTTTCTTTCCATGAACAAAGTCATTCACTCATTCATTGGGCAATTGGGATCTATCTATTGACATGCTGGTCGAGAATTCAAGGTGATCAGCGGCATGGCTTTCACAGATGTCAAACTTGACCCCCCCCTGTCAGCCAAAACCCAACCTTGATTTGTTTGTGGCTTTGATGATGCAAATCTACTTGGCCTGCCAACAACTCCTATCCGACAGGAAGTGCTTCACCAGCCAATTGCAGTGGGACTCCCAAAAAGCCCAGAGCCGAAGTCTCCTTCAGGATGAGAGTTTCCTCTGGATCTGGATCATTAATCAGTATGTGTAGATTCATTTCCCGTAAGCAAAGATCTTCCACCAAGTCTTGTAATATCTCCAGTCGTTGTTGTCGATCGTCCACCATGTATTCAAGGTTGTCCTTGGCCGCATCGAGTGATTCGTCACTAGCATCGGCAAGGCCAATCTTTGTCTCAACTTCTCGAATATTGCTGACAATATGCTGTTGCTCCTGACCCAACTCCTGTTGTCTTTCAACCATGTCGAACCAATCCAGTAGCTGACACTCCACAAGCTCGGGATCAAACTCCTCGGTACAACCGTTGACTACAGAAGCCGAGAATTCAATAACGTGGTTCCCTCTTCTGGTTCGAAAAGCATTTCGAGTCTTGAGTAAGGTGGACAGGCATTCCAACTGTGACAAAAAGTCTGCAACATTCTCTTTGATACTCCTGCTGTCATCAAAGGACTTGAGCGCTTCGTCATCGCGACGCACCGATTGCAAGTCCACCAAGATTGGTCGAATTCCAGTAGATGTCTCGGGTCCACTTTTGCGACAGAGTATACACTTGAGCCTCCGGACGGTTTCTTGCAACTCGGCCACTTCATCTTCTTCAACGACTCCTGGTACAGCTTTGATTCTTGCCTTTTTGTGATCCAAGGTTCGTGCCAGCTCGGAAAATGGAAAGAGAGCCTTTCCCAAATCCAATTCGAATTGCTCGCAATCCCGTTCCAGAGTCAGCATTTCCACCAACTCGGGCGTCTCCAGCAAGTCCTGCAATTGCCCTTCTTGTACTTCCGAGTCGTAGGATATGTCGTCCCCATCCAAAAAGTAATCCACCACGTCCATCGATGGAGCTTCTAATAAAGAAAGGTGAGCCTCCAAAAAGTGCCGAAAGGGCCCCCGATACTCGCACTTTACCAAATGAAGACGCTTGGTGACCACTTCTTCGGCGTTCATAGCCTGGCGAAATTGTAGCAGACGCAATGGCAGGTCGTCCTGGATGAGTTGAATCAAAATGGATGCCTGCCGTTCACTGGGTGGGTGCAAGGGTTGTTCGTTGCTGTTTTTGTTGTTCGAGTTGGGAGTTCCCTGGTTCTGCAGATTGGGTGTAGCGAGTGGATTCAAGGCATCTCTATCTTTCAAATAAAACGGATGTTTGTACAAATTGCGCAACCATCGTTGACAGGCTTGATATGAGTCTTCCGCCCACACATAATCGGGACAATGCAATCGTGGGGATTCCCAACAATCGATTCGTTTTTGAGAGGGGAGCCGCCGTCCAATGTCCTCCTTGGACTCCAATATTCCGGAGGATACTCCTTGAATTCCAATCCCACTGAGAAAGTTATGATGATTGTGATGATAATGTCCTCCTGCCGTCTCGGAAATGCTTTCAAAAGGATCGCTCAAATTGGCGGCCTGTGCCAGTCGGTCTGTACTCAAGCGTTCTATGGCGTCCATGGCCGTCTCGAGACACTGACGACAAAATGATTCGCATTCTAACTTGGCATTGGGATCCTTCTTTTCCTGTTGCAGTACTTGCAGCAATAATTGAGACTGATGTTTAATGTCCAACCAACACGCCAACAAGGCATGACTGCTGCAAGTTGTAGCGGTCAGTTGGCCTTCGTTGGCGCGAAACAAGGCGACATCTAGAAAGGTAATCAGACCAGGCAAGGCGGTGATTTCAATAGGAAGATCCTTGGACTCTCCTGGTTTGGGAGGGAAGAGAAACGATATGACGGATTGCATCATCATTTTCCTAGGTGGTGCACTTGAGGTTGTGGGCATAGGCATGCAT